AGAAGGATAGGTTAATCCTTGGCCTTCTCAGGTTTCTTTTCTCCCATCATTCCCAAGCAGCTGCTTGGTGTCCACAACAATCCCACGATTGTTGTGGGTAAGTCAAGTATTATATCCACTGGCAGACAAAGGAGGGGAATCTCAGGGAGGCTGGTGACTTGTACCAGGGTTACACAATTGGCCTAGCCTTTGGCTCTACCTTTTGATTTCTCTAAACTCCAGTTCTCTCATTTAGGCAGATGGAATAATAAAACCAACCACACAGGTTCCTGTGAGGGTTATAGAGATAATGTAAGTGAAATCACTCTGCAAGCTGCTATTCAAATGCCAGCAATTTTTTACTATCATAATTAGGACTAGTTTGAGGATCTTTTGTCTTTGAACCCAAATATCCTTTTTTCAAAATTGCTTATTCATCCATTCATTCATTCAGTAATGATCTTTGAATGTTTGTGAGGGGTCAAGTGCTCTGCTAGGTCTCAGAAATAGGAAACTGAAATAGACAATTAAGAAGAGGAGATCGTAGCCTGGAGGTGAATCAGGCCCCCAGAAGCTGTTTGGCAGCTGGCATGGGTGTCGCCAAAATAGGCCTGTGAACAACATGGAAAAGGAGCTGAGGGGCAGCTGGTGTCCATGCTGTGGTGGGGGTGGCATCAGAGAGGCTCTACCACCTCAGAGCATGCTCCCTGCCTCACACTCATGACCCTCATGCCCACTCCTCCATTACACAAGATCTGCTCTGGGGAACAGAGGACTGTAAACTGGGGAGACTACTAACTCCAGACCTGTAGGGTCACCTGACTCTGATGGACATGTGGGAGGCCCAAATGAGATCAGGCTGGCCCAATTTGTTTTTTGGTTTTTGGTTTTAGGCTTAATTTTTTAAATTTATTTTTAGTTTTTATTTGAGAGAGAGAGAGAAACAGAGAGAGAGAGAGAGAGAGAGAGAGAGAGAGAGAGAGAATCTTAAGCAGGCTCCACTCTTAGCATGGAGCCCAACATGGGGCTCGATCTCATGACCCTGGGACCATGACCTGAGCTGAAATTAAGAGTTGGACACTCAACTGACTGAGCCACCCAGTCACCCCATTTTTTTTTAAGTCAAACCAATGACCATGAGTCAGAATGGCTAGATTTCTGTAATGAACACTGAAGATGAAAAGAAAACAAATCCAAAAAAAGAAAAAAATCTGGATGTCTCATTTGCATACTTGAAATTACAGGGGAAGAATCTCCCAATTTAGAGTTTAGAGTTTATTGCTCCCTGTTGTGCACTTAGTTATGATTAATCATTCCAAAATTCACAAGCCATGGTCCTCTTATTTGAACAAACTTTTGATCATCTTTATGGAATAAAAACATAGCTCCAAAGAGTGACCTTAATGCAACCTTGAGTTAACACAGTGTTAGTGATGTGGAGATCAGATTGGGAGCAGAGTTCTACAGCCCATAGCTACTCAGAACATGAGAATCAGTGGCTAAGATCCCCTTGAAAAACCTTGACATGTAGAAGGGTTGGATGCCTGCACACTTCTTGGAGCCAACCTGCTGCCATGCACTGGCCAGTAGCCCCTGGTTAGGTGCCATAAAGCCTACCATAAGAGGTAGCATTTTGCAGACTAGGAAATTGAATCTGGGAGTTTAAGTGGTTGCCAGTGGTGACTATAGAAAACAGGAAGAATATCCCTGATGATTCAGCTGGGCAATTATATTTGGGTCCATGGAAACAATGTGGCCTCTTTCTTTAAAAATTGGTCCTAAGGAATTTGTGCAAATTCGAGTCAAGCTGGAGGTTGGAGGTACATCTTCTTTATTGGTGTCAGCTACCAGTAAACTTTGCACAATGCCTTTTACATGCTCACACATACTTGAAGAATCAAAGCATTTTGGCACTGCAGAGCATCTTGGGGAATTTTAGGTTCAATCCCCCTCTTTTTTCTTCCTCCAATAAGGAAATCGAGGCCCCAAAGGAGAGGAACTGTTTGATCAAGGTTTGTTTGCTGTCGGCTGGAACAAAAATGAAGTTGTCTGTCTCCAGGGTGCCAACATGAGGTTGTGAAAATTGAGCACCCTACAGAAGCACCTGGGCAAGGGCATGAATGTCTGGAATCCAGTCCACAACTGGCTGAGGGGAAGCCCACCTTTTTCCTTTCACATAAGGCCCATCTACTCACCAAGCCAAAGTAGGGGCTACATCTGCTCTGAGAAATGTTTGGATGCAGAAGGGTGATGTTAAATGAACAGAGACGCAGACTGTTGATTTTTTAATAGGGTTAATTGATTCCTTCTGCCTTTCTGTGACCCACTCTCATTCTCTCTCCCTCTCCCTCTCTCTCTCTCTCTCTCTCCCTCTCCCTCTCTCTCTGTCTCTCTCTCTCATCTGTCTATCTGTCTTCCTACCTATCATCTGCTGTACCCATAGTGATCAAGATATAGCAACTAATGGATAGAGCGCTACTGCAGAGAACAGGGACAGCATTCACTCATGCTGGGGGACACCCAAGGAATATTGGGTACATACCAATCTGTCAGACTGGACTATAAATTCTTGTCCATCTCTGCTTCTTGCCATCCTACTAGAGTCCTGTTCATGGAATCATTCTCAGTGAACCATATACTAGGCACTGAGAGTGGAGGCTGTGGTGCAACCACAGGCAGGAGAACACATCTTCCTGAGATACAAGGAGGTCGCGATCTAATGTAAGAGATGGAGCAGACCTATAGCCTCACAGACACATGCAGGCATTAGGGAAGAGCCTGCAAGAAATGTGCAAAGAGAGAAGAAAGGGAAGCCACCTTGAGGGCATCACAGTAAGTGAAATAAGTCAGATAGAGAAAGATAAATACTGTATGATTTCACTAGTAAGTGGAATTTAAAAAACAAAACAAAACCCAGACTCATAGATACAAAGAACAGATTGGTGGTTGCCAGAGGTACGGTAGGGGGTGGTGGGGGAATGGGTGAGGGGGATTAAGAGGTACAAACTTCCAGTTATAAAATAAATAAGTCATGGAGATGTAATGTACTGTATGAGGAATATAGACAATAATCTGTATCAACTTTGTATGGTGACAGATAGTAACTACACTTATGGTGGTGATCAGTTCGCAATGTCAAATCACGGTGCTGTGTGCATGAAATTAATATATGATATGTCAGCTATTCTTCAACAACAACAAATTTGCAAAAGTAAGACAAACCAGGCTTTGCACTCAAATAATGAGGCAGGTAGGTCAGGCATGTATTTGTCAGTTCTTTTTCAGAATGAGAAATAAGTTAGGCACTCGATTTACATTTTCAAAAATCCCTTACTTTGTCCCTGTGTGAATCCTCTTGGTTCATCCTGCATCCTGCTTTTGCTTGAGCTCCTGCTCTTAAGTTGTGGAGCCCCCAGAGAAGCAGAGCTTTGATATCTCCTCTTCCTACCCCTTCTGAACATTTTGGAAGTGACTAGGCCTTCCTTAGGGGTAGGGCTCATGAGCAGCAGCCAAGAAAGCCACACAAGCTGGGGGCCTCACTTTAGAGTGATCAGGGCCACGTGCTTGCTTCGGCAGCACATATACTAGAGTGATCAGGGCCAATATGCTTCTGCAAAGTGTCTGACTCCTTACAGAGGAGGCCTTATCTGATTAAGCCCTGATTAAATGCCAGATATCAAAGAGCAAATCATCATTAGAGGCTACTAATGGGCATTCCATCACCTGTGTTTTCAATGTGAAGACATGAAGCAAAACCAGTGACCTGTGTGCCCTTTGTCATGCAGCAACCTCTAATCCAAATTAATTTTAATGAAGCTTAGATTCAGGAAAGATCTGTTCTCTTTGTGTGTATGTATGTGTTTTTTTCCACTCTTGAGTACAAGCTATTGTTCAATTTTCCCAGCAAAGCTCAGGCATGGTGTGATTTTTCAGAAGATGGTGCAGAAAGAGAATTTCAGAGCATGAATATGTGTATCCTTTCAGAGGAAATGTTCAGATGGAATCAGCCAACCAATACATCACCCTGTCAATTTCACAGCAACATCTAAGATAGTATTTGCTATGATCTTTACGGCAACAAATGTAAAAAGAGACTCCAAAATTATGTGTATGACTGTGTCAAATGATCAAAACCCCAAATAAGAAGTTTCCCCTGCCACAGAAGGATAGAAAGGTCTTGGAAGTGACTTATGAGCAGAGGCCACTAAGAGCAGGAGAGTGTTCCCAACCTTATCCCATTCACTTCTCTATCAGCTGGTCAGCAAGGCGGGGTAATGTCAGATGATGTCTACCTTCTGTTGAGCCCCGGCTAAGGACCTGGCACTTCACATTTGCTGTTTCATCAGATCAGTTCAACTACCCACTCAGTAGATACTATTCTCCCTGCTTATTCTCTGGGGAATCAGAGTTCAGTTAGGTCAAGTAACCTTTGGAAAGTCCTATAGTTAATAATGAGAAGATCAGGATTTAAACTCCCGACTACAGAGCCCATGCTCTTGTCAAGACACAAAGTTGCCTTCCTCATGAACCCACTGGGAGATGAGCCCTGGATGTGAACAGATGCAAGAGCAATAGGTATCCTTGCCCTTTGGATTTGAACCATCATGGCAGCCTAAAATGGGATGGGCACCATGATCAGAGTGTTAGAGTTATAGCATATCAGACCTGGTCTCTACTTCCACAGCCACCATTTAACATCTCTAAGCTTCAGTTATGAATGAGAATAATAATAACGCGTTTACTTCATAGAGTTGCTGAGAAGACCACATTATAGGGTGTATATCACAAGCTTGGCACAGGGCCAGACGCATAGTGACTGCTCAGTAGATTTTAGGAAGAAAACACACAAGTAGTTTGCAGTTCTTTTTGTATAACTAGCTTGGTGAGGGATGAGGTATGTCACATCTTAAAAGCAGAATCAGAACAGGGATAAAACCTGTAGGTCTGGCCCTGATGTGGGATGCTCATGGTTCCAGGCTAGGGTCCCTGCAAAGTGTGGCCGTGGGGTTCATATTTTCCAGTCATCACCATATTTAAGGGTAAAGTGGAAGAGGTGGAGCTGCCTGTGGAGAAGGTAGACATCATCATCAGCGAGTGGATGGGCTACTGTCTGTTCTATGAGTCAATGCTCAACACGGTGATCTTTGCCAGGGACAAGTGGCTGGTAAGTGTCCTGCATGCTGTCCCCTTGTTGGTCTGCTGGCTGTCCTGCTGCTCTACCCTTGGCCGACAGTCTAGGAAGAACATGAGTACTCCAGAGAGAGGTTGAGCTAAAAGGTCACCTCCTCCAGAACCCTCTCTTTAAACCAGATCTGCTTTAGAGGACAGAATGATGGTACCTGGGTCCAACATATCTATCACATTATTCTGTAGGTCTATCCTTGGCCTCTTTGGTCATAAACAACACCCATTCTCTGTTGTCAAGACAAAAATATATTCTGATCAACAGGTGCTTAGGACTTATTTGGCTGCCAGGGAGCTGAGCATGCTTATGACCTTGGCTTCTCTGGGCTAAAGGTTATAACATCTTTTGCTGTTCCTCATAGACTAACATTTTCCCCAGTTCATTTGTTCTATTAACTCTACCTAAGTCCCTCAAATTCTCCTAGTTCCCAAAGAAAAACTGAGCATTGCCATCCTAACCCTAACCCTGGCCAAGGTGACAGTCTGCTGAATGAGAAATGCTGGCAAGGGGGTGCCTGTCTGGTGACTCTATGTGCAGTTCAAAATGTGATGTCTTTGTCAGGTGAATAGATTACGAGACCCATTTCCCCACAATTCATCAACAGAAACCTGGAGGGCTTATGTTTCCAGACCGGGCAGCATTGTACGTGGTAGCAATTGAAGACAGACAGTACAAGGACTTCAAAATCCACTGTAAGTCACCTTTTAAGTTTTCATTGGATATATTTTTTTTGGACATTTGGGGTTGGAGACACTTCATTGGCCCTGAGATGAGCATCTGATCTCATGAATATAGCTGCTATGCCTATGGAGAGTTTACCTGTGACTTATTCTGGATTCTTCTCTCTAAATGTTTTCTTCTAGTCCCAAGGGTGGGAGGTCTACAGAGAGAAAATAAGCAATACAGCTGGTATAAGATACATATCCTGGACTGAGAGAATGAATGCAATGTGAATGAAAAATGAATCGAAGCAGCTGAAGCTGATTTTTGCAGAGCACATCAGGCCAGCTGGCTGGGATCCTGTGGAGGTTCAGTTATCTCAAAAGTCCACCACAGAGGGTCAGAAATGGCAGATTCCTAGCCAGGTCGACCATTCTCAATCCTGTCTCCATGCTACTCAAATTATTCTTTGAGGTTCTTTTGGGGGAATGGACAGCAGTGGGGGTGGGGAGAGATGGAGACTGTGTGTGTGCACATGGGTACATGCATATGTGTGTGTGCATGTTGGGCGTCTCATATCCAAACCTATATTTATACTGCTTTATCACCCGAAACCTTGTTCTCTTAGGGAAAAAAAGCAAGCAAACAAAAAAACAAACAACCTCTCCAATGTTTTATCTGGTCCAAAAGGGATGCTTTGTTCTTTTCAATTTAGAGGGTAGCATTTCTTGGTGACACAAGTTAGGTCTTCAAGCTTATTCCAAATGTGTTTTTGTAAGTTAGAAATGGCCATGTCTCCTCAACCAGAGCTAAACATGACAAAGGAGTAAAGAACCCCTCACACAGGCAAGCACGTGCATGATCCAACCCCAAGCATGAGGCAGAAACTCCACACAGTGATGGAGTCAGTAGACCTGCGGTTCCTACCCCTGCAGTGGACAAACCCTCCTTGGCAAGATTACCATGGAAGGGTTCACAGACTGAACATATGCTCAACGCCTTCTGCCCTGGGAGGCAGAGACTCCAGAGTTTGACAGAGTACTGCTCCATTGATTCACACAATTGCCATCTAAGTATTGCTAGTGCCCAACAATACCTCAGCTGGACTGTGCTGTGGAATGTGAATATTTGTGTGTGTATGTTCAAACCCTTCTGGAAATATAACATCAAAACACAGATCACATTTGATGATAATATAACATCAGAGCCATATCCAGGAGAAGAGAGTAATGGGACAGTTATTTGAAGCTCTATGGCCTCTGTCTTCAGCCAGTCTGGTGTCATTTCTAACATTTGATGAACAATGAGAGGGAGGGTGGCCTAGGTTAGATGATCATGATTCAAAGACTGTCAACCCTGGGTTCAAATCCTACCTGGATGACTGGAAACAAATTCTCTAACCCCTTTGACCTCAGAGATTATATTGCCAATCCCATACACTAGCACCATGAGGATTAAGTGAGATGATGTATATCAAAGGATGTGACAGTTCCTGGTGGTATATGGCACCAGACTGGACCTAGGTTCTGAACATGTCACTAAGCCCCTTCTTGTTTGTAGCTCTGGCAAGCGAGACTGACTGCCAAGCTTGTTGGCCTCTGGTGCCTCAGAATGTAGGACAGGTGTGCTCTCACAGTAGATTGCAGAAACAACTCAACAGTGAACGTTGATCAAATGCATGTAAAATAGGGCATATTTTGCCCTGGAGCTGCATTATAATGCAGCTTTTGGAGTTCTTGCTGTGTAACTATACTGAATAGTGTTTTGAGGAGAAACTTCAGGTGCATTCTTCATTCTTATGTGTAAATATTTATTGAGTCCTGACCCAGGGCACAGCTCTTTAAGGAACTTTTTCATGGTTTAAAAGCAAACATACCTTGCCCTCTTCCTTCCCCTGGATTGTGTTTGGGAACCTGTGGCATATGCATGTTGTAATGAGCCAGCTGGAGCTGGAGAGGACCCTGGGCAGACCCTGGGAGGTGCAAGAGGGCAATTGCTGCCACTCAGATGCTAGTCCAGGACTGGAGATCATGTGATTTAATCTCACACTGCTCACTTCAATTTTCATAGCTTCTGGGAATGGAAAAAAAATTACATCAGCCTCCTTTTTTCCCATAAAATGTTTGCTCTGGAGTCTTCTATCCAACCTCTGCCCCTCCAAAAAACCTCAACCCCCCCCAAATAAAAATCATACATACATTTAAAATTTAAAACACTGTGAAGTTTTCCATTTAAAAAATTTTTAATGATATGTTTTTGTTTTTAGTAAAGGAAGTGAGCCCGTTTAGAAATCTGTTTCAAATAAACAGAGATTTTGGTTACTCTGAGTTCTAAATCAAAAGTAAAGCATAAAGGTTGCTGGTTGCTAAGGGAACAATTGTAAGCAAATTTCAAGAACCAGCTAAAAAAGAAAAATCTTAAAGTGGGGCAGGAGAATGAGACCAGCCTAGACCCTTTCATAAAGTAAATTGTTACAAAACAGCTTCCTCCTTGCCCCTCCCTTTCCCTTCTCCTCTCTTCCCCTCCTTCCCTCCCCTATCCCCTATTCCCTCCCCTCTCCTTTCTTCTCTCCCTTCCTTTCTCAACCACATGCAACATGGAAACACAAGAATGAGTGAAACACAGAAGTTGCCTTCAATATGCTCATCAACTGCTAGAGAACACACAAAAAGAGAAGTGAATGATTGGCATGTACTAGACTCACAGTACATATTTTGTTGAGTGAATGAATGAACAAATAAAGGAATGAAAATAAATAGTAAAGGAATGTTCAAGGTGTAGTGTTTAACCCCAAGAGAGGAGCAACCTTTATTTATTTATTTTTACATTTCTGCTATCGAGATTTATAGAATCTTAAAACTGGAAGGAAATGTGGTCAGTGTTGTATTTGATTTCTTAGCCAATACATGAACCTCACCCAATACGTGAATCTACAACCTACTGAGAGTCGGAGACATGGGGACCAGCTTTCTGGCTCATGAGAAGACGAAAAGGAAGGCCTCCTATGGAGTCAGTGGTGCCTGCTACTGGAGGGTTGAAAGGCAGGACCACTTGGAGGACTCAGTTGCTTTCCATGGGGTTCTTTTCCAACTTCACCCCCAACATCCAGAGTTCTATCCTCTGGCTGTCTCTGATTTTATAGAAGGAGTTGATTCCATTCTTGAGAGACTGAAATGTATGAAAGTTTTCCCTTCTGTCTAGAAGAGAAACTGTAATTAGCACCTCATGGCACTTGCTCTATTTTTTTTTTTTTTATCTCTGAGCACATTCTGAGGCAGCCCCATTAGCTCTAGCAGAGAAACTCAAGTCGTGGGGCCAGGGTGGGAAAGGAGGATGTAGCTACAGCTCTCTCCAATGAAATGTAAAATGTGTTCTCTAGTGCTTCATATTTCTTTTTCTGCAAATTGCTTTTGAGATTTTCTCTTTATTTTGATACTCATCAGGTTGACTCTGATGTGTCTATGTGAGTTTTTCTTTGTATTTATCCCACTTGGGATTCTATAGCGTTCTTGGATTGGTGGGCTGATGATTTCATTCATTTAGGAAAATTTTCGGTCATTATCTCTTCAAATATTTTTTTCTGCCTGATTTCTCTTTCTCTTCTTCGGGGAGTCCAATTACACATATATTAGATACTGTTTGATATTGCCCCATGGATCTTGGGTGTTATATATGTTTTTTTTCTTTTATTTTTCTCTTTGTATTTAAGTTTGGGTAATTTTTATTGACCTATTTTGAGGTTTATTCATTATTTCCTCTGATGTCTGCATTCTGTTAGTAAGCACATTGAAAGAATTCTTCTTCTCTGATATGTGATTTTCATTTCTAACATTTCCATCAGCTCATTTTTAGTTTCTGTCTCACCAGTGAAATTCTCCATCTGTTCATGCATGTTTTTCCATTAGATTCTTTAACATACTTATTATAGGTACTTTAAAGTCTCCATTGGATAATTCCAATATCTGGGCTGTCTCTAAGTCTGGTTCTGTTGACTGTTATTTTCTTCTGATTATGGGTCATATTTTTTTCCTTTATCATTCACCTTGTAATTTTTTTCTTAATGCTGGGCATTGTCATTAAAGGCACAATAGAGACAGATGCACAGCATTTATGCCCAGAAAAGAGTATGCTTTTTCCTCTGTCACGCTGTTAAAGTGGAAATTTGAGTCAATCTAGTCTGTAATGATGATAGGTCTGGGCTTTGTTGTTGCCTTAGTTGCATTCATTATACCACAGGGCAGTCCTTTTCAAGAGTTTGGTTTTTAATCCATTAACAAAAGTTCACAGGTCTTTCTGATGTTATTTTTTTCAATTTAAATAAGAAAATTATTAACAATATTTTTGGGTAGACAATAGCCCTCACTCCACATACACTCAGGCAATAGACAAGAAATTGCAGCAAAAAACAAACCTATTTGATTTGTTGTTGTCCCATCCCTGAGCCACATATATTAAAGGAGCTAGTGGGAAATGAACGGTTAGCAGAAAGAAGAGAAAACTTATCTAATGTCCTGGGTGAACTTTCTCCTGAATAATTGAAGACAGGGTAGTTTAGCTGGGGAGAAAAATAGGAATTAACCTCTGAAAAAGTAACTAAAACACTGGGCATTGCAAAGCAATGTAGACATTAAATATTTGAGAATTTAATTTAAAAAGCATTATCTGTGCACTTGTATTGTGCTAGATGCTGGCCTATAGGTGTTGAGAATATAGAAGTAGTCCCATTGTTGGGAGTGGTTAGGAAAGGTTTCACAAAAGCATAAGACATTAAGCTCATCATTTCACAACTGCATGGGCCTTTAAAGATCATCTAACACAAAGTTTTTCACACTCTGGTTGGAATTACCTATATAGATTTCTAAAATCCCAGCTTCTTCGATGCCAAATCTGGAGATTCTGATTCAGTAGGTCTGGTTTGGGCCCAGGAATTTGTATTTTTAAAAAGTGTACCAGATGATTTTGGAGCACAGAAGCACTGAACCAAACTCCTCACTTTTACAAGCAAGCCTAGATAAAAGGATTGATCTGTCCATGGTCACACAGCTGAGATGGTGGCAAAGCCCAGCGCTCAAGCCACATAATGATAACAACTATTATGTATCAGCAGCTTTCTATGTGCCAGACATTGTCTTATGCACTTTGCATATATTATCACATTTAAACCTCATAACAACCAAATAGAGTCATTGTAATTATATAATAATCTCTATTTTAAAGAAGAAACCAACTCTTTGAGAGGTAAATTTTCGCTGAGATTACATAGCAAATATATGGCAGAGCCTCGATTTGAACTCTGAAGCTTAGGCCTTTAACCATTATGCACAGAGACTTCTTGGATATTTGCCCAACAGTTGCCCTACACCTCAGCTTAAGGCAGGGCTGAGAGAGGAAGGAGCAGGAACATGGCAGCAGGTTCCTTAAGGAAGGATTTTACATGAAGGCAGCGTGTTTAGTGTAAATGTTTTGTCTGGAGAGAGGACAGATAGCTATTTCCAGAATCTAGAAGGGGGTCTTCTCTGAAACATGTCCCATTGCCAACCAAACAGTTTCCTTCTCCAAAAGTAAATTCCAACTGGGAATTTGGCACCAACCTTAGGTGATTTAATGGTATATGACTGACATCTTATGCTCAAGCCAGAATTCACAAGGGCTTGTCCTCTGGGAGATGATTATTTTCTCTGCCTCTTCTCCCTGAGGAAGGTCTTTGTGTGCCTTAGAAAAGAGTCAAAGAGGCACAGCTGACCGTCCCCACCTCCCTCTTCACACACCTCCTCTCCTAAACATACAGAAACATAGTTCCCTAAGGTAACATTTATTTGATGCACATTTTAAAAGGAAACTTAATCCCGTAAGATTTTGAGAAAAGCATCTTTACTTTGATGCATTTCTAGACTCATCTGAATAAACAGACAAATGAAATTCAGCTGCTCAGTAACTAAAATCTCTGCTTAGGCCACCCTCTGCAGTACAAGGAAAGGAAATTGCATTCCTGGTTGCTGTCACAACTGGGTCATTGCAGCTGAAGAGTCAGGGGAGAAGCTGGGGTGAGCCTTAGCTCCACCATCTCTCTGAGTGTGATCTTGGCCCAGATACTGTGTGTGAGCCAGATGCCAACTTCTCCCAGCCTGTTTCCTTGACTGTCAGATAGAAGTATCCCCTTGAGGTTGCTGGGTATATTAAATGAAGAGTCTAGGGGTGCCTGGGTGATTCAGTCAGTTAAGTGTCTGACTCTTGATTTTGCCTCGGGCCATGATCTCAGGGTTCATGTGATGGAGCCCCACTTCGGGCTCTGCACTGACAATGTGGAACCTGCTTGGGATTTCTTTCTCTCTCCCCCTCTCTCTCCCCCTCTGCCCGCTTGCATTTTCTCTCTCAAAATAAGTAAATAAACATAAAAAAATGAAGAGTCTAGCCTGAGCTAGGTGGCCAATCAATGGTAGCAATGATTATCACCATTTAAGGATGATCTTAGGCCATTAGATGTGCATTCATTTACTCACCAACCCTGCACCCTACATCTTTCTCCCTCTCAAAGCACCTTATGAGCAGCTACAAGGGGCCAATGAGCACCACTGGGATGGTTGTGCACTACTTGGGGCTTATTTCTTATGGGATGGATTCCTAGTGAGTGCATCATGGCATATGAAAAAGGCAAAGACGTTCATGGACCCACTCTCCCGTTTCATTTTTCAGTTGAGAAAACTGAGGTTCAGAGAGGTTAGGGAATTAGCCCAAGGCCCTGGCCAGTAAGTGGTGGTGCTGGGATTCAAACTAGCCTATACCATTTTAAGAGCCCATGTTTCTTCATGCTTTGTTAAAGGTTCGGTGGGTGAGGTCAGGAGAAGGGACGAAGATGGGTCTTCTAAGTATGCAGAACGGCTTGAACAAAGGCACCAAGATAGAAACGTCAATGGCAAATAAAACTTTGTAGGAGACTCTTTTGGCTCAGAGGGAGGGACAGGAAAGTAGACACAGGAAGAGTCAGGCAATTTGGATTCTGGTCTTGGCCTGTGGAAGACTAGCTTCCTGTGATATTCTAGCTGTGTGGCCATAGAGAAGTTTCTCAGCCCCTCTGATCTTTAGTTTTCCTAACCATCAAGTGAGATCTGTACATACTGCCAAGCTCTCAACCCAAACAAGCAATTTTTCTATTCTGATGCAGGGAACATGAGCTGTCCCTTGCTCTCTTGGGCATGCTGTGCTCTAGTATTCAGGAGAGCTGGGAATACTTCTGGAGGTCCTGCTGCTGGCCCTCATGTCTCACTCTGTTTTCACAGGGTGGGAGAATGTCTATGGCTTTGATATGACCTGTATCCGGGATGTCGCCATGAAGGAGCCCCTGGTGGACATCGTGGATCCAAAGCAAGTGGTGACCAATGCCTGTTTAATAAAGGTCTGCAGACTCATTCTGCTTGGGCCCAAGCATGCTGGGAATCCAGCTGTGCCACCCTGGAAAGCTGTGGGCCTTAAGTAAAGGCAATACCAGCTCCTGCACACCCCCTGCCTGGTGAGGCAAGGCCACCTTGGCTGGAGCCTCTGGCATCCCAACATTACTGTCTGTCACAAGAAGGTGCTCACACTGAGCAGAGCCAGAGAGAGAGCCACTGGACTCCACGGTGGCACAGCTGAGGGGAAGGAATCAGTTTATATCCTTTGTGATGCAAGTGGAAGGGTGTGGGGGAGGGAGCATCAAAGGAGAGGCAGGAGGGTATGCTCAGGTTTGGGGAAGCTACTCCATTCACAGGTGGATGGCCCTCTTAGGAAAGAAATCCAATACCTAAATCTGCTGTAATCTTCATTATACTCCCAACTCCAAGTCTACATGTGACCCAGACAGACAGAGCTACTCAACCTCCTTCCTGAGTAGTCTTGTTTGTACAGGCTCTAACAGCTTTTCTTACAAGGCTTTCTTCAGTGCATATGATGAGCAGCTGGTCAGCATCCTCAGCACACCGATCCTTAGTGCATTCTTATGATTAAATATTCAAATGTATCAAACTTGATAGAGTAAAACCAAAAGCTCCCCTTGACCTCTCCTCCTTCTCAACCCCATGCACTTCTTGGAGGTAATATTGTTTACACATTGTATTGACATTTCCAGCCCCTTTTCTAAGTATTTGCATTTATATATGCTAATATATTATGTTGAACCATATAAATGACTATTTGTTTTTTAAAATCTAGAAAGACATCACTTTCATGTGGTTGAAGTTAACGTTTTCGTTTAAAAATCTGGGTTCGTTCTGTAAGTATTCATTGGCTCATGCAGCCCTCATCTTGCTAAAACATACTTGCCTGCCCTGGTCCTGTACATGTCACTTCCTGTCTGGGAGTACTCAGCTGGAGACCTGCAGCATTTTCAATGGATAAAGGGGAAGAGTATAGGGCCACTGGGGATGAGGAGAGGTTTCTGAAGTTCTGATGTAAACCACTGCTTTGCCAAGGGAGAACTGTCCTTTGTGCCTGGGGGCAGTCTTCCTAAGAAGAACCATAACTCCTGGTCCATAGTGTCACTGTGGCATTTAGAAGGGACCTCTGAGGACAAATAAAACTAGATGAGCCTCACACAGATGAGACTCATCAGATGCTGCCTCCCTCTTGTAACATCCTGCCTAGGAGGTGTGGCTGGGAACTCAGTCTTGGGCCCTCTGTTGATGGTGTTCTCACTACTTCTTAACTTGGTCCGTTCCAAGTCCAGGCAGGGTTGATTGCAAGCAAACGTGTTCTTGTAGTTATTTCCTACCAGCGCCTCTGTCCCTGAAGCCTCTCCCTCTCCCTGCCCCAATGAAGAAGCAGGAAAGTGAACCCCCAAATAAGCCCACCCATAGCACAAAACATTTTTGTAAGTACTGTAGAATAGATAGAAATCTACTGGTGCAACTGAATTTGCCCAAATGACATGTAGCAGTTATATGTAACCATTAGGCACCTGCATGTAATGGAATCAGCCTGAAGATATAATTCCTTTACTGTGCTTGGGCCCCAGGTTGCTTTCTGCCTTTGGTGGGGTGGGATGGGTGTGGACACTGTGCTTCTGTAGGTCACAGGCACATGATGCTTCACCCCCACCCCACCTCCAAGGCCACTCTGCCTTCCCACCACCTTCTCCCCTCTCCTAGTAAGACTCTTTCACCTGGTTATACCTGAGTGCAGCCAGAGACAAAGTAAACAAACTCGGTGAGGGCATTATACACACTCCTGTAAACTCCTTGTGGCTATGAGTGTGTGTCGAGCCTGGAGCTCTGTGCTGAGGTCCTGCCCCATCCCCATGCAGTAACCTTCCTTCCTCTCTTTTCTGAGAAGGATAAGAGTTGTCTGTGTTTTCTTCTGCAACCAAGAGAGCCCCTCCGTCAGCTTTCTTGCTAATGTGCTAAGCAACATTTTGTCAAGCCTGTTGGGAAAACACTTGCCCTTCTTCACACACTTAATTGCTGTTTTCATCGCTATTAACGTTTTAGAGTGTAACACTTTATTATAATTAAGACTCTGTTTTGACCAGACCTCCGCTCTGAGACATCCATTTGTAACATTATTTAGTGGTGGGGATAATGGCGGCCAGGGGCTCTTCTCAGTAGTTGGTACCTATGGAGCTTTCATGGGGGTTGCTGGAGGCCAAGTCCTCCTGGGGTGTCAGAGATACTGCTGCAGCAGGAAGACAGAAACCTTCCAGCATGGGGCTCTGGGATCTAGGAAGCCAGAGTAACCAGGTTTGGCTCTGTAGGCTTTGGTTATGATAGGAGGGTGGGCCTGAGCCCAGAGGGGCCTCTGTGCCTCCAAAGCCCAGAGCAGCTGGCCACCTTTGCAGATGGCCCTGCCCCCATTCCAAAAGACCAACTGCCTCCATTGTCTTCATTTTAATGTATAGCTTCATTACTTCTGTCTTGAAGGCTTTTGTTCCTTCAGAAGCCTCTATTAAGATGCAAATGTCTGTAGGACCTAGTGAACACTCTCAGCTAACACAGGATAGCTGACAGTGGTTGATGCATGTCTGAGAGCAGGACCCTGTGGAGGTGGAATTCCTGATCCACGGGTGGTGTGTGTGTGTGTGTGTGTGTGTGTGTGTGTGTGCCCCGAAAGTGGTGAAGAAGTGAGAGAGTTGACAAGAGAAAGGAGCCTGGTCCAAATGTGTCACAGAGCCTACTTCCCAGGTCTTCCCATAAAAAGTCATGGAAGGGTTTGGATTCAGGGAGCAGCACAGTCTGAATGGATCTGAGAGATTAGTGGGTTGCTTTAGAGGAAAGGTCTGGGATGGGGTTTGGGGGAGGTAGGCAGGAACATTGTCAAGCAGGGAGACCTGTAAGGAGAAGACTGAGAGGTGTCAGGTGCTAGGTTACACAGCATGGGTACACAGACCAATAATGGGCATCCCCTGCTCTGGCTCCAGTCTCACGGTGGGGGCCAGGCTGCTGAGATGAGCCAGAAGTATGGCGGAAAGGCCAGGCTAGGCTGGAGGCAGGGGACCAAGAGAGAAAGATAACAAGAAACTTGGAAAGAGCCTGGAGCCTGGCTGTCTGGCCCTGGCTAAGAAAGAGATGGTAGTCCATGAGTGCAGGTACCATGAGCCTGGTGGACTGTGCTGATGCCAGTAACAAAGATACAGTTAATCACGTTTTGCTCTGAGTTGTTGAGCTGGAAAGAACTGTGGATAATACGTGACCAGAGGGATAATGAATGTCATGACTAACAGGTGCTGGGTTTAAAAAGGAGCAATGACCCAAACTTAACAGGATGACATATGATGGATGACCCTACACTCAGTTCCCAGGACAAAAGGAAAAAAGGAACATGAGCAGGATGCGGTGGGGGGAGGTGGCTTGGCCAGAGTGAAGTCTGAGCCAGCAGTGTGGTCTTTGAGATCAGACGCTGCTAGAAGTATGTCCCAAACAAGAAGGGTGACAGAGTCAGAAATCATGACTCATGCAAAGTGAATAAAAAAGAAGACACAGTTTATGCTGGAGAAGAAAATGTTCAGGGGGCCCATGTGAGCTAGAATAGACATTTGACTTATTCCATGGGTGGAAGTTACAGAGACTGGTGTGTACTCTCCTTACTCATTTAGAAGAGGGACCTGTGCATTGGAGGTGTCAGGAAATGGAATCAGCTGCCTGGCAGGTAGTGAATACATCATCCATGAAGGTGTCCAAGCAAGCATCAGAGGGCCACTTCCCAGGAATGCTACCACAAAGGGGCTCTTGCATTGAATGAAGGGAGACTGGCTTTCTAATCCCATCAAATTCTACATGCTCAACCCAGGGCTTCCCATCCCATTAATTCTTGTTCCCCATCCTTGGTTCCAGAAGCACAGCAAAATTGATGAGGTGACATCACTGAGGAGCTCCCCATCCCCCTAAATTTGCATTCCACTGTCTTCCCAACTAATAGGTCAGAGCTTCAGCTTCCCTCAGAGGATGTGATGGCTGCACACCCCAGACCACAATAGGACTCTTATCTGACCTTCTCCCTTGACTACACCTCTTCCTTTGTCCACCCCCTTGGAGGCAGGACTTCTCTTTGAGGGCCTTGGGATGCTTTGCATCTGCCTTTCCTTTATTTATCCTAGAAATATGTAGAGATAAAAACCGTTTCTACTACATCACTCTGTGTCTTCCCTGCTCTTGTTTTCCCACCTTCAGACCCCTCTTCTAATTATCCCCAATGTATTCTATCATCTGGGTCTCAGGAGAGCCCCTTGGAACCAGTCCAGGCACACAGATATCTGTCTGGTTCTTACAAAGTCTTCAGGACAGAGGTCCTTGCTACACACCCCCGACAATGGGAAGCTTCCTTAGACCTCTGAAAGCTGTCTGGATGCCTCTAGGGCCCTTGGAAGGTTGGCCCTGTCTCATCGGAGCCAGCAAATAGCAGGTCAGCATCCTTCACACAGAAAAGAACAGCATATTGCAAACTGTCTTTCATTATACTTGCTCCCCACGCAACATTGATTTTCAGCCACTTCCCAGCTGAAATTGTTAGAATTATTAGTTCTTTGTGCTCTCCATTTCCTGGCCAGAACTGAAAAATTCTTACCTCTTATTGTTCCCTTTTCTTTCTTCCTTCTTCTCCCTCCCTCTCTCTCCTTCTCTCTTTCTTTCTTCCTTCCTTTCCTTCCTTCCTACCATCCTTCCTACATTCCTTCCTTCCTTCTTTCCTTCCTTCCTGCCTCCCTCCCTTCCTTCCTCCCTCCTTCCCCCTCCCTCTCTCCTTCTCTCTTTCCCTTTCTCTCTCTCTACCTCCCTCCCTCCCTTCCTTCTTGCCTTCCTTCCTTCCTCCCTCCCTCTCTCCTTCCTTCCTTCCTTCCTTCCTTCCTTCCTTCCTTCCTTCCAGGTTTGGTGTAGATGGTCAGCAGGGCTCCCCTTAGTTTAGTCTGTGACTGTGGGTGGGCTCAGTTCGTCACTCCTAAGATAATACTTGGTGTCTCCTGTTGCTGGGAACTTGAATATCAAAAAATTGGGAAATGACTAATCTGGTTCACTGATATCACTGGGAGGGTTTGATAAAGTACAAATTGCTGTTTTGATCCCATAGGTTTGAGATGCCCTCCCGACCCCACCCATACAGAATTTGCACCCAGGTGATGCTAATGCCCATCATCTGGGACCGCACTTTGAGAACAACTAGATGAGCAGAGCAGTGCTGAGGTGGACTGCTCTGAGGCTGTTCAGATTGGGTTCAGGAATGTTCTGTCTCATTAATCCTCTCCCTTTTCCACCCTCTGCTCCATAAGCCCCCATCCCCAGCAGATTTACCTTCCTAATTCTGTTGCCCTCACATTCTGATTCAAACGTGTTTGCACCATTGCCTGAGCATACCCCACCCTAAGAAAGGATGGATGAGGTCATTGGGAGGTGGTGGGTGGGCCTGGGGATCCATCCCAAGAGTAAATGGTAGCCCCAGAGCAGTGGTCTTCCACGGGAATGTAGCTGCTGACCAGGACCCAGACCTAGTGAAGATGCTAAGTGTCTGGCATTCTCTTTTCTCTGGGCCACAGGAAGTGGACATTTACACGGTGAAGACGGAAGAGCTGTCATTCACATCTGCCTTCTGCCTGCAGATACAGCGAAATGACTACATCCACGCCCTGGTCACCTATTTTAATATTGAATTTACCAAGTGCCACAAGAAAATGGGGTTTTCCACAGGTGAGCCTTTTGTTGGCACTCCAGACCCTCCCCACCTTCCATGCTGAGGCTTTGTGGAAGTGACCAGGGCTGGCCTGACCTGGGGAAAGGACCTGGGGCATAAGCCCTTGCTTAGCATCTTGTAAGCCTTCTCCAGCACTTCCCCACACTTTTGGCTGCCAAAAGGAGAAGGTAAATGAAAGTGTATATTGTATGATCAGAGCTGAGAGTATGTGTTCGGTGGAGAGAAGCAGGGGGGAAGCCCAATTTCAGGGGCACATTTGTTCATTGAACATTTTCTAGGCATAGTCTGTGTGAGGGGTAAGGATACAGAGTGTGATAAGATTTCCCCATCTTCACCACTGTGCTCTACTTCAGGATTCAATGAATCTCTCGGTAGGCTGCAGACTATGTCTCTCTGTCTCCTTCTGCCCCAATCCATCCTTCCTGACACTGTTCCCCAAATACCACCTGAGCTCCCCTCCCAGCCCCCCTTCAGAGGTGCCTCATTGCCTGAAGCAGGTAAACCCACATGTCTTTGCCCTGTAAGTGGGGGTTCCACCATACCTGGCCCCCTACCAACTTCTCCCAACTCATTTCTCACTGCCCTTCCTTTGCTTTGCCTTCCTCCCCTGTCTCATTGTTGCACCACACACAGGGTCCAGTCACACTGAGCACCTCACAGTCCCCTGAACTTAGAAAGGGTTCCTAAATCTCTAGGCTATTGCCTCTGCACATGCCAACCCTTTGTCCACCCAGGTGTTTCACGGGGACAAGAGGGTCTTTTGTCAGAGGCTCTTGTCATCTCCTTTCTCCCTGCAGTAGTCTGCTAGGGCTGCCATAACAAAGTATGACAGGCTAGTGGTTTAAACTACAGAAATTTACTTCTCACAGTTCTGGAAGATCAAGGTGCCAGCAAGTTTGCTTTCTCCTGAGGCTCTCTCCTTGGCTTGCAGGTGGCCTCCTTCTCTCTCTGTCCTCACAGGGCATGTACTCCTGGTGTCTCTCTGGTGTCCTAAGAGATTAGGACATTTATGTATTTGTATGAGGAGACTCTAAAAGGATACAAACCAGATTGGATTAGGGTCCACCCAAAGACCTTATTGTAAAGGCTTCTTTAAAGGCTCTATCTCCAAATATAGTCATATTCTGGGGTGCAGGGGGATTAGGGCCTCAGCACATGAATTTCAGGGAACACAATTCAGCCCCAAACACCTCCCCTATGCCCACTCCTCACCTGGACAATCCCAGCACAGGCCTCATCTCTCAGCTCAGATATTACTTGATCCCTTCCTTCACTCCTGGTTAAGTTTAGGAGTTCTTCTTGGGGCTTCCTGACATCTTGTGCTTATGTTTGTCATGGAAATGTAAAAAAAAGGGTATAAAAAAGTCAAGAAGGGCAGCTGGGTGGCTCAGTCGGTTAAGCGTCCAACTTCAGCTCAGGTCATGATCTCACGGTCCGTGAGTTCAAGCCCCGCGTCGGGCTCTGTGCTAACAGCTCAGAGCCTGGATCCTGCTTTGGATTCTGTGTCTCCCTCTCTTTCTGACCCTCCCCTGTTCATGCTCTGTCTCTCTCTGTCTCAAAAATAAATAAATGTTAAAAAAATTAAAAAAAAAAAGTCAAGGAAAAAGTCCTCTTCCCACTCCAGCCCAGTTCTGTGCCCCAGAAGCATATGTTAACCACTTTTTATTTTTTGCTTTTTATTTGAAATATTTCTCATATGAAGTTGCCAAGATAGTACATAGAGTCCTGTGAACCCTTTACCCAGCTCCCCCCAACTATGGTACCACATCCAAACTACACTTTTCTTAAAACATGGGTTGACTTATACCAAGCACACTGCCCTCTGCTACCTTGTCTTTATTTAACAATAAACCTTAGAGGGCATACTTAAGCAAGAAACTCATGATCTCAGATCTGGTCTTGCTCTCAGGGTCGTGAGTTTAAGTCCCATGTTGGGCACCATGCTGGGCTTGAAGCCTACTTAAAAAACAAAACAAACAAACAAAAAAACAATATACCTTGGAGACACTTTCACAGCCTCATTGACATAACTACTTTATTTTATTTTTATTTTTTGTTTTTGAAACAACTACACAGAATTTCAATGTCAGATGTAGCTTATTCAACATTTTTCACTCTGTTTGCAATTCTCAGTCTCCCCATGGGCTGGGATCACATCTCATGAATCTCTGCACTCTGGGCTTCTAGAGCAGTGTTTGGCTTGTAGTGGGTTCTAAACAGATCACTGTTAAATGAGTATATGAAGATCTGAGTCCTGCTCTTGGGAACATGTTCCTATTGGCCACGCATGTGAAGTCTTCTTGGGAAGCAGGAGCATGTCGTTAGGGGCAAGCCAGCATGCATGTGCCAAGGGTAGGTGAGCTCTACCAGAGTCCAAGGACATGATTCTTCACTTCCTGAAGCCTTGGTGACAATGATTGATCCTCTTTGACCTATTAACAGAGAGGGCAAGAGGTTTATCCAGCCCCTCCAAGAAAAAAAGGGTTTTTTCCAGAACTGGTGTCTCCTGACCACCAAGATCATGATCTTCTGGTCTCCAACATCTGGCCCAGTGCTGGTGCACCCTGTCCTGGGGAAAACCAGAGGCCCCCAACCTTGGTCATTTTTAGCTGTTCCCCTTCTTAGAGTGGCAGCAGGAGAGATTGTCTTCCTGGTAGGCAGGGATGGCTAGGAGGGAGAAGGGAGGTTTTACCTGGACCTTGAAGGGTAAGTAAGACTCAGTCTCACAGTGGTGGGGTGTGGCAGTGGTGGGAGGGTGGAACAGGAGCCTGCTTGAGGACCATTGCTGTGATTGGAAGCCAGGGATGGAGCCACAGAAGCTGGCCCTGCCTCTACCATCTCCAGGATGATGTTTCCACCGGGGTCTGCCCTGCTACAGGTGATGAGAAAGGGTGGCAGGGATACTCTGGGAAATATTGTGTGTTTGTAAAGCCTAGGATCTAGCCCATAGCTTTCAGCTGGGGGTTTCCCTTCCCTGAGTTTATTTCCATTCCTTGAGGTCAAGCAGACAGGCTGTCCCACCCCTGCCCAGAGGTGGTTCTCTGGCACTGTGATGGCGGGAACAACATTCCTGATGCCCCACAGGAAGGAGTCCTGGTTAACCTTAAGTTCAGAATTGAAGGACTCAGCCCCTGGCTGCCTGAGGGATAATGAGTATTTGCCCTTCGTATTAAAGTCTCCAGCCCACTGGGTCAGTTTCTTCCTGTTCTATGGTCATACTCCCACTGTAGTTTGTCACAAGTCCCTGTGAGAAACAATGAGGACTATATTTCAGAGGCTCAAAGACCATGGGTCTAGATCAAGGTCTGAGCTCATTTGTCTTTTTGTTTTTTTTTAAGATTTTATTTTTTTTTAAGTAACCTCTACTTCCAATGTGAGGCTTGAACTCTCAACCCCAAGATCAAGATTTTCACGCTCTACTGACTGAGCCAGCCAAGAACCCCTTGTCTGTCTTTTTACAGCTATAGTATTATATCACCTCCTCTTTGCACAGAACCCCAGAAACGTAGGTCTGAAAGGTCATCCAGAGGTCCTGCAACTGCCTGTTTCCATGCCTTGGTGCAGAGGTTCTCACCGTGTAGTCCGCGGCCAGCAGCATCAGCATGACCTGGGAACCTGTTAGAAATGCAAATTGTCAAGACTTGCCCCAGATCTTCTGAATCAGAAACTCTGGGGTGGGGTCCAGAAATCTGTGTCTTACCAAGCCCTCCAGGTGACTGTAATGCACAAATCAGTTTGAGAACCACTGCCTCTGTGCTAGGCTGCCTGAACAAGAAGATTGTAAATTTGGCCAATGTTGATGCTTTTCACATCAACTGGAAAGCTAATTCCATCTGCTTACTACCTTTTCTCATCAAGGCCTATGCCTTCTGGTTGACATAGGTCCTTCTCACAGCAGCATTCCCATATAGAGATCAGGATTGGGGGGATACTTTGTTTCACTGCTTCCTCAGCCACCTGGGGAATGTCCACATGGGGTTTTGCTTCCAGCAGGTAGCAAACATCTTTACCAGGTAGTGTGGGTTTGTCAGTGGGCTTTTCTGATCCTCTATACTTTGACCATCTAGAAAAGAGTATTTGCTTTTTGTTTTCAAGGACCTCAGATGCTCAGAATTGAATTAATCCTAATTCTTGGTACATGACATCATTGAATCAGGCACAGTTCACTTTTGTTTGTTTATAACGAACACCTGTGAACTCACCACTGCCTCAGTAATTAGGACATAAATAATTATTAACTAGCACACATTAGTAACTAGAAAAAAATGTATTATTGTTCTTAGAATGTAAATACATTAGCTGATATCAAGAAATAAACTGCTACTAATTAGAATATAAATATTAATCAGAATACATTATTAATAAATATAATGATACTATTTATAATTAATAAGTAAATTAATTCACAGTCTCATAATTAATCCTTGTGTGCTCACCACCTAACTAAATGGAGGCTCCACACCAACCCATCACCCCCCATGTTGCCTCTAGATGAACATTATTCTGAATTCTGTGTTCTTTATCCCCTTGCTATTTTAAAAAAAGTTTTATCACATCTATGTGTATGTCTGTACAGTGTATTGTTTGGGCTCAGCTATTTTTGAACTGCATGCAGCATGTAACCTGCCATATGTGCCCCCATTCCATTGACTGACTGCCCGCTGAGCTTTCTATCTCAGCCCAGCCACAGCTGGCTCTGGAAGGGCCAACTCACAAGCACATCACGTATTGTGCTGCTTGAAAACAATCCCCGTTAATGGTTCTGGCATCTCCTCTCTGCAGCTCCAGGCAGAAGCTGTCGCAAATGGGCACAGGAACCTAGGGTTCCAGGCTGTGCCAACCAGTGGGCATAGCTGCCCCTCCCCTTGGACACATCCTCAGTGGATGGGGGCAGGGACCCTTGGGGGTGCACGGAGGGACAGTGGCTTGAGTAGAATCAGACCTGGGGTAGAGTCTTAGTCTTTCCAGGAGTCAGCCAGGTAAGGCGGCCAGACAAAGGAGATAGGTCTTGAGTAAGTTACTTTCTGGGCCTCAAGCTCATTATGGATGATGTAGTTGGACCTAGATGCCTAGCAGCCCCTTCCTGCTTTGCCATCTGGTGACAGTGAGTCATTGTCTCAGGTCAGAGAAGCTTCTTGGTGCATAGTCTTTCATTCTCTAAAAAGCTTCTGATCTCCCTGGGCAATATAAATTGCAAATTTATAGCTAGAAAAAGTTTTAAATTTTAAGCAAAGCTATCAGCCACTTAGCCACTGTGAAGTGAAACAAGAAGCAGGATTCCACTCCCTTTCCAAAAGCACCAGGAAAAGTCTTCTTATGAAAGCCCCTGCCATTTTTTCCCACAGCCCCCTGAGCTCTGCATCCCCATCCTTAGTCACAAGGATGACCTTGCTGCCTGAGAGTCTTCTCATTTAGGCTATAGGATGTGAGGGGGAGGCAGGGCTGTATAGGTCGCTGTTTTCCAAATTTAGGACCATATCTGGGAACTGACAGGCATCCTGAATTGATGTCTGTTGAATGAAGGAATGCATGCATGAATAAATGCATATGTACTTGGAATGTTGGGGGCAGTACTGGTTATACTCACTGTAAAATATAGAACAAAAGCTGTCCATAACCCACAACCCAGAGAGACTGTGAAGGGGAGGGAGAAAAGGGGAGGTTAGCATGTGGGGTCAGGATATTAAGAGGATAAATATATCTTCATAATAGGGAATGCTGAAAGTTACATGATCTAGAAGGTTATAGCTGGGGCAGGGTAGGGTGGGAAAGACTTATTTACTGATGAGAATTCTAGATGTCATCCACAGCCTTGTTCTGGGTGCTCACCCTTGCACCTAGCACCTTTCTGGATGCTTCCCCAGGACATTCTAGACCACTAGAGTGATGTAGAACATCTTTGAAGGTCAGAGCCATAGATTATGGATAAATAAAATGATATGCCACCTCCCATAATGATTATAACCACATAATTCAATGGCTTAGCAATACCCTAACATGGGGTTAATGTGTTATGGTAGGGAGACCATATTTATCTTTCAATTAAAGACACTTCTGATAGTGAAAAGGAAAGCTATTAATAGTCATGCTAGGAAGACAAGTAAACTGGAGCTGTCTTGGGCACAGCAGGAGATTTGGTCATATACTTTCCCCCTTCTCATCCCATCTGATTCTCAAAGTACTTGGGGAGATAGATATCATGCCCCACATTCTGCAGGTGTATAAAATGAGCCCCAGGGTCATAGTGCAAACACAAGGCAACATGGAGGCATGAAACTGGGACTGTTGTTGCCTAATTAAATGTTCTTTCCACTCTTGCCCACCAAAGAGATGTTATTAGATGCGAAAGAGTGGGTTTGCAAAGGGATTTCAGCCATGCTCTGTGCCTACAATACATGGGGGGGATTTTTAAGTCTTGGCAAGTCTGCTCCCTTCACATCCCCCAGAATGACTGAATTCAAGTCTCTAGGAGTAGAGTTGAGAAATCTGAATTTTAATCAGTTTCTCCTGGACACCTTGATGGAGAATTAGTATTGTGAAAAGTGGTCTAGATGATTAGTCCACGGCTGATGGACCCCATGACAGAAATGTTTGGGGAGGTTCTCAAACTTTTCATGTTGTCAAGGGGAAAAAACCCACTTTTCTCCAACCCAAGGCTGGTGTATTTTTTGGACCACCACCAGACACACCTAGGCTTGATGGCTGCCAAACCTGAGCCAGTGAATCTCTGGGACTCTCATAAGGCATCTGATTAGGTGACAGAAGGAAGTTGCTTGAATCCCCTTGCCTGAAGGTCTTTAAGAACAGGAGAGACACCTGTCTGAGCTGGTGTGGGAGGAAGTGGGGGCGAGAGTGCTGTCAGTCATATGCTGCCATTCTCCGTATACACCAGAGACTATCTTTTGACAATTTATTTAGATGTAGTTGGCAGGGAAGGGGCTGGGACAGGTGGACTTTGTCTGTAGACAGCAATATGCTTTAGAGGCCATGAAGGCTGGATATGTTTGGGTATCTAGGATCTAAAAGCCACAGACTGCACGTTCATGATCCTCCTTCAAGCCTTTCCAAATGCTCAGGCTGCTTTTCCCTGCCATGACCTTGAGTTTGCACTGATTTCCCAAATGCATACATTGAAGGCTACCCAAGTCTTTACCCAGATCACTGACATTTGATCAAGCCAGTTCATTGCAAAGGGCAAAGAAAGACTCTTCACTACCTTTTAAATAGATCCTGGGGTTTGTAAGATCTTAGAAGTGATCTGATCAGACTCAGTGCATGATAAATCCCCAGTGTTTGTTATAGGAACACCTCAAAGCTGAACCTCAGGTAGCTCAGATGATTGCAGAACAGCCCTAATTTTTCCTGGTGAATTAAAAATCTGCCTTCTAGTAACTCCCAGTGACTAGCCTTTGTTCTGTCTCCAATGCCATATATAAGGCCACATATGTCTTTCTATGTGACAGTTTTTGAAGTATTGAAAGGCACTTATTATTATTCTCCCCAAGTCTTCTCATTTTTAGCTCTGGTCCCAAGCAAAGAGGAAATCAGTATTAATGAGTCCTACATCCAGGTGGAGGAAGGTAAGAGACTGAGGGGCCAAGAAGATCTTACTATAGTGGGTTCTTTTACTATCTATAGTTTTCAAAGTCTCTAATGTAATTGAACATCTATGGGTACCTTGAGGCATAACAAAGTGTCTACTATTTGGGTTTTGCCATCTATAAGTGTAGTAGTTACAGATCTACCAAGTGTGGTGGTAGGCACTGAGGATATAACAGTGAACAAGTCTGGCATGGTGCCTGCCTTCATGGAAATTGCAGTCTTGTGGAGGAAGCACACAGCTGAAAAAAGACAAAGGTATTTATGCTGCAGTATGATAGGCATTGTGTTAACCAAAGCTCAGGGTGGGTGGCCAAACTAGGCTTCCCAAAGGAAGTGACTTTGAAGGATGAGGAAGGGAGAGACTGGTGGACTAGGAGGGAAAAGTATTCCAAAGATAGTTGTTGCTGAGGAAGATGTCCCATAAGCAGGCCCCCTCTTCTGGTTGTAGAGTATGTAGTGTGCTGAGAGAGGATGGATGGGATTTAATGGCAAATACAGGGAGTCGCCAGGATTGGTGTGCCTTTGGATCATGCAGGAAGAGTGAGCTATGGACCAGTGGTGAGGCTGTGGGATGAGAAATATCCCTTACTTCTTTTAGATCCAGTTAGGAGGACACAGCTGAAACACCACAACAGATGTGGGCCAAGGGTACCAGGTTCAGTTCTAGGGCAGAGAAGTGGCAGGGAAGCCTATGTGTAGGATTGGGGTGTTGGTGGGACACGGGTTTAGTTAAGAAATTTGCACATTTAAGGGGAGACAGGATGGTCTACTCTACAAATCTCCCTCTTACGCTGTCTGAACATCTTCACTCTGTTGAACTAATTAAAAACAGTAGCCTTTTGAGATTCTTTTATGTTAATGAGTTTAGTTGGTGAGAGGGTATTCATCCCACCCCTTGGAAGGAACTTGTAATACCTGCTTCTTTCTCTTCTGATTCCTAGCTAAGATCAGCAGCCTGGAGGATCTGGGATCTTGATGGAAGGAGGAGCCCTGGGGCTGAGTGAGGATTTCTGGGGTTGGAGGCAGGCTCCAGGGGCTGGGTGCCTTGACCCACACAAGTGCTGGGAGTTGGTTCGGTGAATCCCAAAAGAAGCCCAGCAACTTCTAGGCAAGGTCTCAGCCTCAGTGTTTCTGGAGACATCTTCTCTGACTCTTCCTTCCCACCTCCCTTTTCTTCTCCCCTCAGCCCCCGATGCCCCCTACACCCACTGGAAGCAGACTGTCTTCTACTTGGAAGATTACCTCACTGTCCGGAGGGGGGAAGAAATCTATGGGACCATATCCATGAAGCCAAATGCCAAAAATGTGGTGAGTGTTGAGGCAGTCTCTGTCTGGGACAGGGTCAGAGGGAAGAAGGGACCCGTGGAGCTGGTTCCCTGGAGCTCCCAGGGCCTCCTCACCCTGGTGCCCCAAGTGCCTTGTGCACAACCAGACAAGGTACTGGGGGAGGGGCAGTAGAAAGCCAGGTTTGGATCTCACTACGTATAACTGAAGGCCTCCAACCATGGACCCTTAAAACTCAAGGGTGATAGATTTTCTCGAAGACCCACTCTGGACTCTCAGCCTTCCTTGCATTTAGCCTCCAGTTCTGCATCCGAGGAGCTTTGGGCACGGAGGCTGTTGCCATGGGTTTCAGCTCATTTAGAACAAGCCAACCCAGGAAATAACAGCTTCTGGTGGCCGGGAAGATGTTTGGTTCACGTTTCTTCAGCGAGCCTGGTGGGTCAGGGATCGTGCGATTCTTTCTGAGCAACCGCGGGTGCAAGCGTGTGTATTAAAAGCATCTAGAGAATGCTTTGAAGGTTGTGCCACAGAAGACTCAACCACCCCACTCTGTTTTCTCTCAGGATGAAATCAGAGGGAACATTTCTATATTATAACAGGAAGGCTTTAGGTTAGGAATCAAAGAACTTCCTGTGTGGATAATGAGGCACTAGAATAGATTCCCGAGGGCTGTTTGTGGGAACCCCTTAGCTAGAAAACCTTAGAAACACTGTAGTTACCCATCCCTCTGCCTGCGGGAGGGGGTGGTGCTTGCCTTTGCTACCACACTAATGCTGGGACCCTTTGCTCTTCCTTTGTAGCGAGACCTCGATTTCACGGTAGATTTGGATTTTAAGGGACAGCTGTGTGAAACATCTGTATCTAATGACTACAAAATGCGTTAGCATACGTGGGAGGCTGCAGACAGCGAGCAAGAAGAGAAACTCTTGCCTCGATCTGCGGCTCTGTAACAAGGAACACCGTTTGCAGGACTACACTCTCGAAAACCAGAGTTTTTAAATTCTGCCTTGAAGATTGGTGAACTCACCAGGGCTCCCGTGGGCCACTGGACAGAGAGCTTCCAGTTCCTCAGCTCTGCTCTGGGAGCCCTTCACAGAGGCTTTGTTGTCGCCGACAAAGAGCAACCTCCAGTGCTGTGGCTGGGGCCCCCGAGGATGGAAAAGTATACACGTATACCCATTTGTCCTCCTTAACTGTGAATCTCTGGAACTTCCAAGTTTTGCATGCTGCAGGCATCTAGGACAGATTGCTTCACTAGAACCTGGAGACATAGTGTCTTTGATAGCATAAGCCAGATTACCTGTCTGTGCGGTGGTGTGCGTGTGCGCGTGTGTGTGCGTGTGCGTGTACAGCATATACATTAGTTTATTTACCCACACCTGTATATGCATGCATATACAACCACGTGGGTATATTTCTGTGTTCATTCAGGGTGTGTGTGTGTGTGTGTATGTGTGTGTGTGTGTGTGTGTGTGTGTGCGCGCGCGCGCGTAGAATATATATTACTCTCAGAGGAGATTCTGTTGCTTTCGAATAGGAATTTGTTTTGTGATTAGTTCTCCCCACTTCCCATCCCTTACAGATGTTAAGCAGCTATGAAACGTTCTCTGTACTAGCTCTGGTCTTCTTCTGACTAGACTGTGGCTCTGAACCCTGAGCATAGTACCACGCACTCTGTTGGCACTCAATAAATGCACATGAGAGCGAAGCGATGGCCTGGTTGTGTTCCTGGTGCTCTGGGGTGGGAGGGTTTGGGAGGAGGTCAGAGGCCACACTGGAATGGAAGATCACAGGAGCAACAGATGCTGTTCCCAGCTCCCAGAAGGTAGTGCCTTGGTAGAAGCAGTCAGGACTGGTCCAACAGCATGTCCCCTGCAAACTCTCACAGGGTAGGGAGAGGGACTTAGGGGTGAAGTTGGGTGGGGGGGGAGGACAGGAGCTAACCAACAGTGCTCTAGAATGGAAGGCTACGTGTAGCCTGGAGGAAGGCCAACCTCAGGAATAGGAGAATATAGGGTGTGCATCCCACTGGGAGGGCCTGGAGAAAGCAGGAGATGGTGGTCCTGGATCCCTGGGGAGAGACTGGGGCAGGGTCTGAGTGAAAGACTAGGGTGCTGAGAGTTTGCTGTACTGCACAGTGTCTTGTCCCTGGTCCCTCAGCCCTGGCTAGTGTTTGGCCTGGTCTGCCACCCTTTGCACCGACAGGAGCTCACCCACCTTGAGTAGAGCTTTCCCACCCAGCACAGGTGAAAAATACGTGGGTCCTAGGATGGTGCCCCAGGTTCCCAAGGCAGCCCCCTTCCCCAGCATGGCTGGTAAATCTCTAACGCCCCCAACTTCTTTGGCCCTGCCTAAGCTGGCCTCTGCCTTCAGTGTACCATGGACCTTGGGCAAGTCATGTCACTTTCCTGAGCCTCAGCCTTTTCACCACTCATCTGGACTAGCTGATGTTCCACGCTGTGTCCTTGGGAGCCCTGGGGCTTGTGGGAGGTGCCAGGATCAAGGTGGGCAGAGTTCTGGGTTCCCTTCTCCCCAGGTTTAAAAAAAAATTCTGGGATGCCTGAGTGGCTAATTCAGTTAGGCATCTGACTTCGGCTCAGGTCATGATTTCACAGTTTGTGAGTTCTAGCCCCGTGTTGGGCTCTGTGCTGATAGCTCAGAGCCTGGAGCCTGCTTTGGATTCTGTGTCTCCCCCTCTCTGACCCTCCCCTGCTCATGCTCTGTCTCTGTCTCTCAAAGGTAAACATTAAAAAATAAATTTAAAAAACCCAATTCTTCCCTGGCCGGTCTTTATTTTCCTTGGGAAAAAGATTCTACTACTAAAAAATAAAAACAAAATAAAGACATGAAAAGGAACCAAGACCAAAAGCAAATACCTCTGAAAATGATGTATCTAGGTGACCCCAGAATCCTCCTGACCTTAATATTCTGAGATCATTGGTATCTTGGACCCTCTCACGTTCTCTCTCTCCTGCTGCTAGTCCTGTGCATTTTCACCTAAAGTTGCCCAGAGCAGCATTTGGGTCTTGGCTGGGTGCCCACCCCTTGGCCCAGAACCCCATTTTCACTCACCTGCATCTTTATGCTATTTCTTGCCCCCATCAGCTCTGAAATATTCTCTCTGGAGCCATCATCACTCAGAAAGGGGAGCAAGCTCTATGGGCAGATATGGGGCCTTTGCCTGAATTTTAAAAGGGGCCTCCTGAAGGCACACACACAGTTCTGTGGAGACTCTGCTTGGCAGGAAATGTGAACTTCAGTCCCCACTTGTCCCCTGGTCTGGTGATAGGTACAGTGCAGAAACTGCACAATAGGACACAGAGGCCCTGAGAAAAGCTGTGCTGAGCCTCTTGGAGCCCATGTTGGTTTCCCTCTAGCTTGTAAAAGGCTGTCCTGCATTTCAATTGTCAGTCAATCATGCTTTCCATTAGAGACCTGTTGGCAAAACTTCTAGCTTTGGTCCAAGTGTGGTAACCAAATCTCCATAGGATGGAAACACAATGTACTTTGCCAGAGTGGTGAAGTGTTTGGATGTGGTTTGGTTTCTGGTGATTCTTTAGCTTCTGAGACAGGTAATGTCATCTGTGTTATCTCCCCTGGGGGAGATTTCCCAGATGCTGGGAAGGAAGAGGGCCATTTAGAGGTAGTGGGTAGAGGTGGGGAGGAGGCAGGGGAGGCCTGGGCTCAGCTGTGGGTGGGGTGTCCTGAGGCTGGTGGTGTCCTTGAAAATGATCAGTGACTCCAGCTGCAGTGGCCCCTACCCTTTTGTAACCCTGTGGCATCTGTATGCTTGTTGGCTTCTCCAGAATCCTGGCAGTTAGGTGCAGAAGCACCCCCACCTGTTCTGTGGTGGAGGCCCCCTGAGGCCCCGGAAGGAGGAATGGAATTGTAGCAGAGCTAGACTGTGACCGCAGTCCTGCCCAGTGGTCCCTTTGCTGCCCATGCTGATCCCTCTGAGCCCAGGCCTGGAGGCCTCTCCTTGTACCTGGACACAAGTACAGTGAACATCATGTAGTACTTTCCATCCCCATGTGTTAGATAAGGAAAGAAAAGGACAAGCTCAAGAAGACAGCAGTGAATGTGTCAGGAGAGGGAAGGGAGGTGAAGAAGGAAATGGAGGTGGGGGGGTCCCCCAGAGGGCATTAGACAGAAACTCATTAGTGGGTTTTCATGGTGGTGGCAATTGGGGAACCCTTACATTCTGCCTTTCCCTGGGTAGGGAGCCCAGCCAACTTTGTGGAGGATTCCATCCATGTCAACGGAGTAGAATCCTATGTGGCCAGGAACCAACTAGGAGGATGACCCCCTAGGAGCTCTAGGCATTTGGGGCCTGCAGGCATCCCTTCATCCCTGGAAGACAGGGGAGGACTGAGCTGAACAGAGGCCCAGAGGTCTCTCAGGCCTCTCCAGCCACCAGAGGAGAAGAAGGTCACCCCTGCAGCCTGCGCCCGGCCCTGGGTCTTCAGCCCTTGCCCTGCCATTTCCCATCTCTGCCCCTGGGTTGCAGGGGTGAAGCTGGGCAAGGCATGGGGAACACTTCCACAGCAGCCCCTTTCTCCTGCCCACAAGAATGCTCTAGAGGGAATGTAATTTCTCTCTAATTCAGTGGAAAATAAGCAATATCTGCTTGGAGCACGTTCTGAATAGAAGTGGGTGTGTGAGATGAGGTCTTGGCATGACAGTAGAGACCCTATAAAGATGACTTCACTTGTAAAACCTGTTCTGTCCCTGACTCTGCTTTTTTTTTTTTTTTTTTTTTTTTTTTTTGAGACCGTACAAAACTTACTAGTGGCTCTCACTACTGTCTCTCTTCTTTCTTTCTTTGTCTTTGGGGAAAACTTCCCCCTTCCATTCCCAGCCTACTTCTACCCAGACCCACAGCCCTGGGGCCTCATTGGTGGTCTTATTTGGGCCTGTCTACCTGAGTCTCTCTGAAGGCCATTGCATGCATGGTCTCTCTTCCCCATTAGAGCACAGGCTCCAAGGGCAGAAACCTGCCTTTCTCTGTTCATCCTCTTGAACAACATGGGGGTGAAGGTGGGAGGTGACAGGGTGACACCTGACCAACTTGACTTCATGGAATGTGCTCAGGAGCCATTCTAGGACTATCGGGTTCTTGTCCCTTCTATCTGTGCCCCTGGGGAGATATTGGAATTTTTGTTACTCTCACAAAAGCCACCTATGGAGGCTGTCTCCCCTTTGCTAGACCCTCTCTGCTCCCCTGTCTCTACAGCCTTCCTCCCCTCTTGGCACTACAGCTGGCACCCCACCTTGAGGTCCAGCCTGAATCCAGACCTCTGTAACAAAATGAAATTAAGCGAGACATCTCAGCCCATTCCTGCACTTTGGGTCAGTCACCCAGATAGGAGTCTGTCCTTAGCCTAGTGGCCAGTAGCAATCATGGAGTAATCTCCTATCCTTTTTTTTTTAAATTTAAATTTAATTTTAATTTTTAATTTATTATTTATTTTTTTAATTAACATCCAAGTTAGTTATCGTATAGGACAATAATGATTTCAGGAGTAGATTCCAGTGATTCATCCCCTATGTATAACACCCAGTGCTCATCTCAACAAGTATCTTCCTTAATGCCCCTTGCCCATTTAGCCAATCCCCCCACCCATGGTTTGTTCTCTGTATTTAAGAGTATCTTATGTTTTGTCCCCTCCTTGTTTTTATATCATTTTTGCTTCCCTTCCTTTATGCTCATCTGTTTTGTATCTTAAATTCCACATATGAATGAAGCCATATGATATTTGTCTTTCTCTGACTGACTTATTTCGCTTAGCATAATACCTTCTACTTCCATCCACGTAGTTGAAAATGGCAATGTTTCATTCTTTTTGATCGCTGAGTAATACTCCACTGCATAATATACCACATCTTTATCAATTCGTGTATCAATGGACATTTGGGCTCTTTTGATACTTTGGCTATTGTCAATAGCGCTGCTATAAACATTGGGGTGCCTGTGCCCCTTAGAAACAGCGCACCTGTATCCCTTGGATAAATACCTAATAGTGCAATTGCTGGCTTGTATGATAGTTCTATTTTTAACTTTTTGCGGAACCTCCATTCTGTTTCCCAGAGTGGCTGCGCCAGTTTGCATTCCCACCACTAGTGCAAAAGAGATCCTCTTTCTCTGCATCTTGGCCAACATGAGTGATCTCCTACCCTTAATCTTTGGGTATCACACACTAGGGGAGTTCTGCTGTTCTTGCACCCCACCCCACCCTTGCCACTACACAGAGGTCCTGGGTTCTGGAACCCTCTTCCTGAAGACAGATTTTATTTGGTTGCTGTCTTGAGTCTTGCAAAGCACCTTGTTACATACCTGGTTTCTGACTGTAACCCCACCTGTGTGGCAGTCTAGCTTGTCTTAGACCCTTGCCCTGTGGTCTTGAGACTGTTGGGATAAACCTGCTTGAGGATGGGTGATCTCACACCTGTCTAGGCATGATGAGTGTGCCTGGCTCCACATCTAAAGCCTCCCAGGATGCCTTGAGCTCATCCCATTGGAAGCAATTGGCTCATATTCAGCTAAGGCTCAGACACAACATGTTTGATGATCAGAAATTTGACCAACAAACATTTATTAGATACTTAATGGGCTCTAGGCCCTGAGGTAGGCAATGGCACGTAGCAGAGTCACAGGCACTATCCCTGTCCTTATGGCCTGCACTGTCTGGTTGCCAATCTCTGGGCAGG